TATATAATAATACTAATAAATGTTTATATAAAATTACTTATTTTATTTTATTTTAGGAAGGTGAAGATAATTTTATAACTCGGATGTATCCTAGTGGATTGAATATCACACCTTGGCCAATTTTCAATGATCCTGCTTGGTTTAAGAGTTTAAAAGATCTTAAAAAAATTCTTGATAAACAACAACCTAAATATGAGAATGCTCGTATATTTTTACAAAATACAAAAGTTATTATGGCTAAATTGAAGGTTTGTTTATTTTTATATATGTATTTAACTTTTTGTTTTTTCATAAATATTAAAGAATTCTTTTAATGTTTGTAGATTTGTGATTGGGGATCTTTAGATGAAAACTTAGTTCAAATTCGTATTTCAACTCTTAAAAGACTTCTTCCAACAGTTATTTCACTTGGAGTTGAGCAAAAAGATCAATCTACCGAACATTTATTGGTATAAATATTTCAAATTTGGTCTTGCATATATAATTATAATGAAATACTAAATGAAACATCTTTTGTTATAAGAATCGAGATACAGGTCTTAGTATCGATGATCCGGTTGTCCCTATAACAAATATATTTGAAGATTTCGAAAGTTCAGCAACTTTGCTTGTTGATGCAGAAATTTTACTATTCGAAGAAAATACAGATTTTGTTCAACTTTCGGCTGATCTAAGAGTTTATTTTGAAGAGAATATACAACAACGTAAAGAGGCGCATAGCGATGTTATATGGTTTAATCGTTTAGCAAAATTCTTTAAATATATTATTGAACGTAGAGTTTCTCGTGTTCAAGAATGGTTTGATCAAAATACTGCTAAATTTCCACAAGATAATAGTGATGTTGTGATTGGTCGATATGCTGTTGAACAAGAAATTAGTAAACTTACACTTCTATGGACATTATGTGGTCTTACTTGCAACGATTGTAACCTTAAGTGTTTAAAAAATCGAGATCATAAGGAAGGTCATGAGTGTTTAACAAATCATGAGTGCCCCTCAACCTGTCAATTTACTGAAGCACATGATGATAAAAGTATCATCCCACCATGCAGTCACAGAGCTGGTCATGAAGGTTTGTTAACATAATGATATATTTAACTTTGTAATGTATTAAATTTCTAATTATTTATATGATTTTGAACATTTGTAGGAAAACATGCATGTTCTCTTATTAGCCATTTGTGTGGAAAACCTTGTTGTTTTTCTGATAAACGAAATTGCCAAAAGCGATGTTCGAAAGAGATCGGTCATGAAGACGAAGATGAAAAGCATCTATGCCAATCTCCAGTATGTATAATGACATTGTTTTTTTTTCAAATTTATAAGTTGATCGACTAAATTTTTTTTCATTAGCGTCATTATTGTGGAGCACCGTGTTCGTTAGTTACTAACACAATAAAAGGCGACTATAATTGCCCCAACAAATGTATTATACCTTGTGAAGAGCAGCATGACTCTCATCGGGTACGTTTATTTTTAAAACTGAATTATCCCGAAAATAACAACTGAATTAACTGATGTCTCTTACAGTGCGAGAATGAAACATGTCCTATTCCATGTCCGATTAAAGATTGTCAACGACGTTGCAAAAGCGACGATCATTTTCATGCTTATTCGGAACTTTTTGTCGAACATTTTTGCGGAAATGAACATCAATGTCAAGAATATTGTGAAGAACCCGGTATTTGTAAAGTTCAAACTGAACCAAAAAAACAAGAGGAAACCTATAAAGGGCTTGTTGATTCTACCTCCATTACTTTTATTAAGGTATAATCTAATAAGATTATTTTATGTCGAGTTTAATTAATAAGTAATCAAAGAAAAAATAAAAATGAATATTTTCTTAGTACATTCAAGTAAGTGATAGATTACAGTGTGGTAGAAAAATTCCACCGGATTCATTCAAACATGAAGGAAAACATTCTCATGATTCAAATGGTGAGGGAGTACATTATTGTGATGAGAAATGTAAGTATTAATTAATTTCTTGATAAATACATGTATTTTATTATAAATTGTTCTTAATTTAATTTTTATTCATTTAATAATAAATATAGGCAGCTTTTGTGAATATTATGTAAGTTTTATTTACTTTTATTACATTTTCACAATGTTGTTAAAATATATCTATTTTTATTATAGTGCACTTTACCCCATGGGCATACACAAAAACATGAAACACGCCATGGAAACATGATCCAAACAGAATTTACCGCAGAAGAAAATGAATTTGAATATGGAGGGTATGCGTAAAAAATATATATTATTATAAGGGAGTGTTTTTTATTTATTTAACTTTTCCCTTTAAATTTTACTGCTTATAGTCATAAATTAAGAGCCGGAGATGAAGGAACTTTTGTATTGTGTAATTTGGTATGTGTTAACACTATTATTTATTCTTAAT